AGGCGGCTCGCTGTGACCAGTGAGAAGGGTTGTGCCTTTGCTTGGCACTTGGGACAAGGCATGTGCCGAGACGCTGATCAAAAGGGAAGGAGATCTGTGGTTAACGTCTTGAAAATAAAGCCTATTCCATACCTGCATGTGGTTCAGTTTTATGAGACAGATTGCTGGGCTAATCTGGATGAAACTATTTTATTTAACATAACTTGATTTCTGTGGATGAAAAGGGCCTTCACTGACTTTTGTTGGAAATTCTCTCCTTTCCCTTCTTTTTCTTCTTTTTCCTCCTTTCCTTCCACCTTCGCAGAGCCGCCAACCAAATACCAAATCTCTCAGCCAGATGTATATTCAGCACTTCCAGGAGAACCACTTGAGTTGCGCTGTCAATTGAAAGACGCCGTCATGATCAGTTGGACTAAGGATGGGGTCCCTTTGGGGCCTGACAATAGGACAGTGATTATTGGGGAATACTTACAAATTAAGGATGCTACACCCAGAGATTCGGGCCTCTATGCTTGCACTGCTGTTAGGACCCTAGACAGTGATACTCTGTACTTCATTGTAAATGTTACAGGTGAGTGAGTTAAACATAGGTTTTTGCATGTAGAAGCTATAAAAAGGGATATAAAGACACATTATAATATAATGTGAAACAGTGCACTTGAGCACAGCAAGTTGGGCTGAGTGCTGTAGTTATTTCAGGTATTTTCCCCCTTGTCCTGACCCTGGAATGGACTCAGTTTATATATACTCCTTTTATTTCATGGGAGATACATATATAATATAAGTGATTAACAGCTACTGAATAGCCCTCTGTTTTATGCCACTATGACAGGAGTAAATTATACAGAGTTGCTGTGATGATGATAAACCCAGTAAAATGAATACATGGTTGTGTTTGTTGCGCTCCCTCCCCCCCCCGCCTCCGTTTATCAGAAGAGGAAAAGGGGGTGTCCTACGTCCTTTAAGTTTAGAGATAAATCATTCTGGAGCCACTCCATTCTGCTTGACTGGATGCCTTTAAGAAAAATACAAATTGTAAATGGAAAGAGACTTTTGGAATTAGCAAGCTCCCTTTGGAAACTTCATAGTGTTTCAGTGTTAGCTAGTTTTGTTAGAATTTTGTAAGAACAACACACATTGTGTGGCTGGATTTCCTTTTTCTATAGCTTCTGCACAACTAACATAACATCTGTGCTCCTTGATAGCTAATCTAAGATGTAGCATATTGGTTTATTTGTCTGCAAAATAGGCTGGTTTAAAGACTTGATTATTTTTAATGTGCAGATGCTCTTTCCTCTGGGGATGATGAAGACGACAATGATGGGTCTGAGGACTTTGTGAATGACAGCAACCAGATGAGTAAGTAACAGCGAACTGCCAGAAGTCACTAGCAAGATCCACGTGGCAAATAACGTCCTGTCTTTTGCAATCCTGCCTTCAGAGCTTCTTGACTGTTAACTGCATGGGCTGTGAAACAGTGGTATCTTTGTTCTTTTTCCATTTTCTGTTTCACATAGTTCATAACTTGGAAAAGAAAAATAAACTAATATTCTTCTAAACACGCTTTACTGGTCTGTACTTTCTTTCTCCCTTCTTGCTAGCTCTTCTGCAGTTTCCTTTCTGCCTAAATTGAAGTTCAGTCTTTGTCTGGTTTAGGCTTTCACAGGTGAACTAAGTTTCCCTGAACCTGAGCTGAAATCTAACAGAAGAAACAAAGATCCAGCTCACTCTGTTAAAAGGCGACATGGAAACTTTAAAAATAAAATTAAGGTATAATGAGGTAAATCCTTCAATCCTTAATTTTGGCAAAAGTCTCCCCGGGGAGAATGACTTTGGGAGACAATGAGTGTGTTTTGTCTGTGAAGGACCTCAAGGTTTGTCGCAAAGAAAACAGTCCATCACTAAAACCACATTTTATGTTACTTACGCATGATGAAAATAGGCTAGAAGAGTCTTAAACTTATCTGAGTGTTAAACTTCAGTCCCTTTAGAGAATTTGGAAAGCTATTAATAGACTCTAAATAGAGCAGTTGCTAAGAAAAAAAAAGTAAAATTCATATTGGTTCCTTATGCCCCTATGCGCTGTTGCAAAATCCCCTTGGTGACTGGTAGTTCGCTGTCGTTCTTGCTTTGTAAAGTCAGTAACACGAAAAACACAGAAATCCTTCATGGGAGATGTCAGCTAGTTACTGAACACAGTAGCCAGGTAGTATATTTGCTCCTCAGCCTGATTAGTAAGTGGCAGCTACGCTGGATGCTTGAAACTCGTGTTCACATGGTAAAGTACGAGCCTGATTTCAGCTCCCCTGGTTAGTTACTGTTGTGTATGACTGCCTCTGGTCTGAAGCTGTGAAACATTAGATGCTATTTAAAATGATATAAGTTTTTAGCTGCCTGTTTGGCCCCTGCCATCTGTTAGTGTGATTAACCCGGTCTGATTCGCAGGTGCAGCTTGAAGTGGCTGAGATTAAGCAGCTGGAGGCTGCTCTGACAAAGGAATGCAGTGGCAAAGATAATTGGCGAGTTTGGAAAAGGGACACTGCTTTTAAAAGAAGTTGTCTAGGCAAAACCCAGTAACCCGGGCAATGTTAGCGTTCCCCTGAAAAGGACTCGTGGGTAGAAGTTCCTTCTAGGAATCGTCCCTATGTCTGTTATCACTTTAGAGCTTTGTTGGTGTTGGTCAGAAAAGGGCTTGCGGTATTTTCAGTGTGTTAGCGAAGGCAATTGTGCTTCTAATCTGTGCTGATAGCTTTGGCGATTCATCCTGAGCGCAAATGGCTTTTGGGAGCGCATATAGCAAGGAGAAAAAGGACCTTATGCTCTGTGACGTTGTGGTAGCGATTCTGCCGTTTCACGCAACGGGGGGAAGCTACCCAGTGGTGTGCCCTGTAACACTGGTGATGCTCTCGTAATGTGAGCTGTCATTTTAAGCTACTGTTAATCAATCTTGATTCAGGAGCTGGTGAAAGGCCATTGACAATTTCCGTCTGCCAGGGATGGGCTGTGTGCTTCAGGGGGGTCAGTCACACTTTCCCTGCTCGAAATGAAAGACGCCTCTAGAGCGCGAACATTTAAGCATCTCGGATGGCAGGGAGAGCGCAAACTCTTGCAGTGTATAAGGGAGGAAACTGCAAGAAGACAGACTGCTCCTGAGCAAAGCGTTGCACAAACAAGTCCTCGTGCGATGGCCCTTTACAAGGTGCCCACAAGCTTCTGGGACTTCTGGCAAGCTGTGGATGGGTGCCGGGAGCCACGCAGCCTTCCTCCTGATGTCTGAGCGCTCGACGGGAATAGCTGGAACTGGAAGAATGATCGTGGCACGCATCCCTGAAAGTAGTCTGTTTTCAACGAAAAAGTTGCATCATAGTAACTCAGTTGGATTAATAAAACACTGCTGAAAGAGGGTTGTGATTTGGCAAGATCAGAGCTGTGTGAAAGTTAGGGGTGGGACTTTTAGTGCTTTTGCAAACCACTGAAGCTTGCGTATCTAGTGTCTTCTAAGCCTTTCTATCAGTGTTCCTTTTCTAGATTTTATATTGCATCCAAAAGGCCACATCTAATTTAAGATTCTCTGTTGCAAGACAGATTGAAAAGCGAGTGAGGAGCTGAGGGGTAGTCCAAGTCCGCCCTGAGCATGCCACGGGGCAGGCAGTGGTCTGTAATGGTCAGATGCCCTTTACCACCTCCTCCTGCCCATGTTAGGCAGAGCCTGGGGAAGTCCAGGACCTCGCAAGAGTCCCTGGTTGCTGCTCTTTAAGACAAGAAGTCTTTAAGTGTTTCCTGAATTATGGTTTGAGCTTTGCAGATCTAAAACAATTTAACTGATAATTTACATACAAATTACAGCTGCGATCATTAAGGATAAGCAATGGAAATTGGCCTGGTTATGCCTTTACTGATGGAAACAAAAGGCCATAGTCTTCAAAGGTTGTTGCTTTTTGATGAAACAATTCTGATAAAGTCCAGCTGTCCTGGCATGTTAATTATGATGTGATGAGGCAGGAAATGGCTGTAGTGCCTTCCACAGGAAGCTGAACCTTGGCATTCTCATTCCTGCATATTTAAAAGTAAAGCAAACCTTTTAGAGCTGTTTTAAAAGAATACTTACCATCATAAATAAGCTTTTTTTATGTTCTTTGCCTCTGTTACAAATACATTTTTCAGAGGCCAAGGTTTTCAAATGCAAGCAGAGAGTATGTCGAGGAGATCTAGTGTAATTTTCAAGGCTGCCCAGAAAATACAGCCTCCACCGACTTCAAGAGCAGTTGTAAGTGGCTTGGTAGCTGTGAGGAGCAGCTCTGTCTTGGAACAGGAGGGCACTCGCGTGTACACATGTGCATTTGACCATTTGCCCTGTGTGTATTTTTAAGTAAAAGGCATGCATAGCAGATTTCACTCTGCGTTTGGTGTCCTTTTAGCTTGACAGATATTTTAACTGTCTGAAAAAACACTGTGGTAGATTTGTTCCAGACTGCATCCTGAATAGCTTTTTATTACTTCCAGCTTTTGTTGAAGGGATTAGTGCTTGTGGGGAAGGTGCAGGATTGGTTCCACTGCTAAATAGTCCTATCTCTCCACAAAATGGCTTTGTTGGCAATGCAGTTTTTCCTTTCGTTGCCCTGTAGAGGTGCCTTAGCTTGGTTCTGGAGGGCTACCTCCAAGGATGTTGACCTGGGAGTTCCTTTTACAAAGCTAAGGGCTGATCAATCATCATCAGTTCCTACTGGCCGCAGTGGAGGATATGTTGTTGTTACTTGTCGCCTCGTCCTCATCGTGATTTTGAGAGGTAGCCGTAACTTAAGGGATTTGTATAATCCTGATGCTGTCGTGATGGTTGCGCTGAGGTCCAACAGTAACTTACTCTGGAGACCCCTGGGTAGCCCTGAAGATGCTGCTATTCTGCCTTGAATTCTAGTCAGGCGACTGGAAGCTTTATGGCTTTTTTCCTTATCACCCTTTAAACAATTTCTTCTGGGCCAAGCAACGGTAAATTGGCACCAAGAACAAAAAGTATCTAAATGTAATCCACATGCTGTTCTTTTCATGCCTTGAAGAATTTCAGAAAGGATGAAACAAGGTTCAAATTCATCAAATCCTGTAGAGTGGAAACCCACTCAAGGGAGCAGCAAAAATTGGATGTTGCCTAGAAGTGTTTTTTAATTAAAGGTCAAATACAATAGTACTGAAAACCTTGGGGGGGTTTGATGTGGTCGTTTCAGGCGCACTATTGCCTGCTCGAGGTGCTTGTCAGGCAGGCTTGGAGTTGACTACTTCTGTGTTTCTTTGTATTAGATAAGTCCAAATAAAAATTGAGGAGCCCTGAAGTGAAGTGGTCCCCTGGGCTGCCTAATTTCAATTTCACATGCAGGAGCCTTGCCTGATTAGATGTAATGTATTTGCAGTGGAGTGCAGTGTGGGTCAGCAGGATATTTTCTTCACTAATGAGAGCTCTAAAAGCCATCAGGAATTCCCACCCGTTCCCCTGCTGCTCGTTACCGCCATGAGCCAGTGTCTGCCCCGTTGTTACGGTGAACTTCTAACAGCGGCGCTACCGATTTCCACCTGTCCTGTTAGCAAAGGTGGGACGCGATGGCCACGGCCTGCAGGAGGGCTCGGCACTTCATGGTATGTACTTGTTAACTACATTCATTACTGGTTTTGGTGAACCTGGATGTTTTTCCTCTCGAGACAAGCAGAAACGGTAAAAAGGTGCTTTTAGGTTGTGGCAATTTAATCTATAAAGAGAAATGCTGTGTGTTAAATCGGATCAGTTGCTGTATGAAGGCAGAAAACGAGGGCGAGTGTTGTAGTTCATGGCTGTTGCTGCCTTTTTCTGTTTTCCCTGAAACACACCGAGGAGTTGCCAATATACGTTGCTGCTACCTAGTGAAAGATGGTAGGATGTCTTGAGGCGTTCTCAGGCGGCGTTTTCAAGGTGTGATGTCCGCGCGTTTTTCCTCCAAGCTCTGCAGTAACGGAGGGGCATCGCAGGTCATGCTGAGCGTCTTGCGAAGGGAAGCTTTGCCAGCCCTCTCCCAGCCCGGGGAGTTTCCTTTCCCCCTCTCCCCGTGGCGCAGAACTGAGCCGCTTCATTCCCGCCTGCGTCCTCCTGGCCTCTTCTCCGCTCCCACCTCTGCCGCAGAGCGCAGCTCCTCCCCGTGCGTCGGCTGTACACGAGCCTTACTGAAGCGCTCCTCTTGCGGGAGCAGAGCTTTTAAAGGGCGAGGGTTGATGGAAAGGAGGTGATCCGCAAGAGACGCAGCGGATGAGCTACGCCGTAACGCAGTAGAAACCTGGCGGCACGAAGCAGCCTTGCGTGAGGAACCGCTCCGAAGCCCTGCTCCGGGGTGCACCCTGATGGCAGCTTCTCCGGAGCTTGGTCCATCCAGCCTGTGCCCTGCGGCATTGCCGCGGGCCGGCTGCCGAGCCCCTGCTTCAGAGGGGGTGCTTGCCAGCGGCGGCGGCCAAACTCGTTACGCTGCCCACCCATGAGGAAGTGCCTGCGACGGACGCGATGAGACGTGGCCGTGCTGGCTGCGATGTTGCTGGGTCAGCGTTGCCTGTTTGGGGCCAAATCTAGACGCTCTGCTCTGTCTGAGATACCAGTATAACTGGTTCAGATGGCTGATTGGCTTTGACCTGCCACAGTTTACTTTGACTTGGTGGGAATTGTGTGTAGGGCCCTTACAATGCCTTGTGGAAGATGTGTAGCGGTCCAGAGAAAATATCCCTTTAATGTATCAGTATCAATGTGTAATTCCGCCTTTGCCTCGTATACTTGTAATGTAATTTGGTCTTTGTGTGTAATAAGTTAATTCCTTTGGTTGGCTTTGTTTAAAGTCTTCCCTTGTTTTAATGTGATCCTGGTTTTAGCAAATAATGTTAACAGTGATTTTTCCTTGCACCCCTAATTCACTTTAGTCTGTGTAACAATTTCGTAGTGTTGCAGTCAAATTTTCAATAGTTACCTGATTTTCTATTTTGATTGCATGCACAAATTTGCTTTGCTTTTCTGCTTCATTAATTTTAACAGTAATTGCCACTTCGGGCAAAAAAAGAAAATCACTTACCGTTCTTCGCATCATTGTAAGACTTGCTTTTAGAATGTTTTCTTTATACTGAGAGAGACGTTGTTAAAGGATTTATTCCTGTATTTTCTATCCAGCTGTATTTTTATTTAGAGAGGGGGGTAGCAGGATTTCTGAGTTTGCAGTGATTGTAAGAACTGCTATAAATATTTGAGGAACGGAAGAGTTTATTTATAGTGGAGTGTTAGGCTGCTAATGAAGGAAATGAAACAGGGCTGAGAGAAATAGAGTTATTTTTCTGGACCCCTCTAGTCCTAAAAATTCCACACTAATCTGATTTGCTTCAGGAAAACTCCATTGTAAAAGAAACTAATGTTTCCTACTATTAAACAGATCTTGAATCTTTAACTGGTGAGACAAGTGAAGTGATGCCGTGAAGATGCTGTGCAATGGTGCGTGCACCCAGAGCATGGGATAACCTTCTATATGGATCTGTATATCCAAATTTACTTCTTGGAGGATGCAAACAGATAGTTGCATGTCTTGTTCTGCTGTGTTTTCTGTACTGGTACGTGACAAATGATTGAGAACCCAGACAAGAGAGGGGTTTTCGATGCGTACCTCATGCTCCTGGTGTGGGAACAGGCTGGGCCAAGGCATGGCAAGGACGGAGTGAGCGCCAGGCGAGCCTTGCCGGGAGCTGGTAGCAGTGATCCCTTCAGTAAATACAGGCTGAGAGAGACTCGTTTTGTGCCGTGGTGTTGGATTATCACTGTGGGTGTTGAACATTTGGGCTCCGGTAGGCTCATCGAAGTGGGAAATCCCTGCAAAATAATAAAAGCTATTGCTGAGTTTTGCGGGTCCATATTTACTCATTTGTTTTCTTCCTCTTTGGTTAAGATTTCAGAAATATATTCCATTTGTAAATATATTTTAGTGGTTTCTATGACAGTAACAGCTCAGTTCACCTTGCTGTTGGACACTAAGTTTTAGCATGCTGCCAGGCAGGTGGATAGGTTTGTCCCCCTTTAACAGATGGGGAAAGATTAAGACTGATGCTTCCAACAGGTCTTCTGACTTGGTCTGTCTGGCTTCACAGCCGAGGTCCAAGAATTCAAAGTTTGCTGAGCACTCACAGTAACTCGGTTAAAAGTGTCTGATCACTGAGCGTGCTGAAAACTTGGTCGCTCTGTCTTACTTGACGTACACAAAACAAAGGATATCTGTGGTTAATTATTGGAATTTTGTCATAAATTATATACTCAAAGCTGCAGAATGAGCTGTTTGCAAAACTCTGGTCAACACTTGTGACATATGATTTCCAGTCATGTACTCTTTCTAAACCGTGCTTGAAACAAATACATGCAGCGCTTTAAGTCTGTGAAAGGGTCTGGAAGGGAGCTCGGTTTCAGAGTACTGATATTTCTGGATGTATATCTTTGAAACAGGGGCACCCTATTGGACACATACGGACAAAATGGAGAAAAGGCTACATGCGGTGCCAGCAGCAAACACCGTCAAGTTCCGTTGTCCCGCGATGGGAAACCCAACACCAACCATGCGATGGCTGAAAAATGGGAAAGAGAAAAAAGAAAGAGTTTAAACAAGAGCATCGTATTGGCGGATATAAGGTATGTTCTCATGATGTGATTTTGCAATTTCTGTTCTTGACCAAGGCTGTAAAAAAAAACAAAAAACAAAACAAAACAAAAAAAACCCCAACTTGCTGAAGTCAACAGAAAAATCTTTTAATGGCCTTGGATGAAATGTAGAAGCAAAAATAAGTAATTGTTTTCTTCTGGGGAAGGGTGGGTGGTTTCTTTAGCCGTTATGGAGCACTAATTCTATATTTATTTTTTTCCTCAAATTCAAGCTTGTAGCATAGCAGTGCAGCTAAGCATTATTTATCGAGACTTATTTGGAAAACTAAAGACTGATTTTTCAAAGTGGAGTAAGACTATTTTGCTCTGTTCATTTTCAGCTGCATTGTTAAAAACACGACCATCCACTCTGGTAATTGTCGGCCGTTTAATAAAGGAAGAGCTGGAAGTCCGAAAGTTATTATTTTCTGTAGAGTTTATGGTCTGTGAAACTGAAATGGGAAGCAGAATTTGACGGAAAGTAACAGTAATTACTTGCGAGGGTTTGTTTGAATTTTAAACAGCTTCAGATTAGATGTCTCATTCTAAATTGGTGGTTACTGATTAAGAGAGAGTTTTAGGGAGGCCAGCTAGCTCTGTGGGTTAGTGCATGGACCTTTAACCTCCTGGTATCTGCCTAGGTCAGGTCAAGAGTCAGGGTTCGGTCATCTTATCCCACTTCGCATGGGGAATGGGAGGGCATGACTTTGATGGCAAATGGCTGTTTGAGCACTAGCCTTGCCATCCTGCCCCGCATTTCTGAGTTACCTTAACCTCTTCTGCAGACCTTCTGTCAGTGGATTCCTCATGGACCCGACACCTCTGCAACTTCTCTCCAAAGATGAGAAGTTTCCAAGTTAGTCACCCTGTGTCACGGTTGTAAGCCCCAGCCTAGAACTTCTGCCGAGCAGCTCAGAGCAATTTGTAATGGTAATTAAGACAGAAGTTAACTGACTTTTCCAGATGATGTAGTAAGCTCGAGACCAAGTCTGGGAGCTGCCTCCCCTGGTACTGCACCACTGCCTTACCCCAGCGATTGCAGTATTTTCAGGGTGCCATGTTTTGTGGTGCCCTGATGGAGCCAGGGTGTATGTTGCTTCGTGTGCTGTTGACTCTGATCTGCTTGGTATAAAAAAAAAAAAGTTTTCCAGTGCAGAGGAGGACAAGTTGTAGTCTCCTTTCCTCTCTAGCTAGATTTACTGTAAAAAGTGTCAATTTTTCCAACATTTGTGTTAGCGGAGAGCGAAGCCCAGAAAATCTCCCCACATGAACACTAATTATCTAAGTAGACTTTTCCATCTATGTTTGCTTACACTATAAATTACTGTTGCTTATGAGTGTACACCTGGCAACACCTTCTGCCTTTCATAACGCTATGGAGTGTTAATGAATTGGCTACAGTTCAGTGATTTTCACCTTTCTCAGTGCTTTTTTTAAAAATAAAAAAAGGCCAATTAAAAAAAAGGCAACAACAAACGAATCCTGTCTTGGAAAATAGTAGTAACTGTTTTGGTACTCACTGGGACATTATTTGAACGCTTTACATCTCATGAAGGAGAAATGCAGATACCACTCTTGAAAACCATGAAGGAAAATGTGTCTTGCAAGGCAGCATGGAGATACCTGATCTCTGGTTTGGGAGGGTGATCCTTGGTGGGGTAAATTAGCCCGTGTGGGGCTCTGTGCTGACACTGCTAGCCTGTGTTAGGGATCTGGGTGAGCTCATTTAGACTTGTGCCCATTAAGTGGCACAAATTAAATTTTTGCTCATGTGTATTAAACATATACAATTTCCTAGGTATGTATGTACTCTGGGAAGAAACCACAGATGCCTATTGCTAAAGCCAGCTGCATAAGTGAAGTATATACTTATAATTCTAAATCATAACTTCTTACATCTCTTTAGTCTAAAGGGAAAAAAAGAGGGGTCACAGCTGTGGATTTTAGACTTTCTTGTTGCTCAGAAATACAAGAAATTCTAAATGATCTGGTAGCATGTACTTATTGTCATAGATTCGGGAAGCAGAATGTATATTCTAGATTCTGTCAGTGTTTTGAATAACCATCTTTTTAAGATGGAAGCTTGTTTTCAGTGGGTGGAGTGGATGGTTAAAGAATGAGGCCTCCAGAAGTTAGAGGGGCAGGATGAGGTCACTGTGGGCTTATTCAAAATTATTCTGGAATAAAGAGAGAATTGTCTTTTCGCGACACCTCTACACTGACAAACTTGTAATGAAGGAATCCTCAGAAAGGACCGAGTCTTTCCATGTTGGTCTGTCTTCAGCAACTCAGGATGCTTTTTGTACGCTAGCTTGTCTTGAATCTGGGCATTGCTATATGTAAAGCATTTCTGCTGGAGATCTTCATATTCATAACACTTTGAGCAACTAGAATAGTTGGAACCATACTTGGCTGTATCTGCCATCAGCAGCTGATGTTAACACCATCCGTCCCTTTCGGAAGCGGCAATCATCCCTTGAAGACTTTAAGAACAAAGTAAAGCGAAGGAAAATGTGAAGCTTTCCAGTAATTCTCCAGCCATCTCTCTCCTGCTGCCTTGAGCTAAGAAATCTCTTCTTTGTATTCTCTTTATCACAATCAGATAGTGACCTGTAGCACTTTGTCCCTCTGACTGGGGAATGTCTTGAGTCAATTTGCACTCAGGCAGGCTACCAGAAGGGTGTATGTGCTGGCCAAGATAGCTTCCAGGGCAAAATTCCTCCACCATGACTAATTCTGGGTGGTGAATTTCAAAATCGAACCTTTTATGATTTTTCAAGGTACGCACAAAGTTCCTACAGCAAGGAGAAGGGTTGGGTAACATTGGATATCTAAATCCTTTTTATTTATTTTTTTTTAAATCTGTCTCTAAAGTGATGATAGCTCTTTCTTGTACATTTAAAAGCATTTTATAATTTCTTTGAGTGAATAATCTAAATCCTCTGTGAGACACCACAGGAGCCTTTACTTTTCTGTACACCACCCAGAAAGCAAATTTACTTCTATCAATTGTTACTGTTTAAGTATTAACAGGCGTGTGTTTTCTCATATGCGTTTTGATAAGCTTCATCTCTACGGTTGTCTTACCCACATTTACCAGCCAGGTAAATAGAGAGTAAAGAAAGACTTCTGGCTCTATAGGAACTGTGGAAGCCTATGGCTTTTGTGTGGATGTTCTGCACTTGTTCTCCCTACCTGAGCAGTACCAGTATATGTCTGAACTGTGCTGGTTTTGTGGGGAATCATATTTTGGCTTCTAATCCTTCTTTCTATTGAAATTAATTTAAAGTTGACCCCTTTTACCATTTTTTGCTCAGTGACAACTTTTAATGATCTATCTGTTCACTGAAGACATGTATTTTAAAATTAAACAGAACTGTCCACAATTTTTTATAAGATACTCTAAAAGTAAACTGTTTCTATGAAACATTGCCCTTTCTGACTGATGTTTCTTGGCATTTTGATTCCACTTTAGGTTTCCCACCTCCAAGCTGTATCTTAAGGGTACAGTTTTAGTTTAAAAACTGAATTGTTTGGAGAGACTGGAAGAATTGGTTAAAAATTTGATGGAGAAGATGCCCAAAAAAAGCACCTCAGTCATTTCCTAGAAGGGTCTGTACTTGGTCAGGAAAAAGACATGTTGAGATTATTATCTCAATAAAGTACCCTTTTTGGGTATGAAGCACAGATAAAAGCATGACAATAGGTACTGCAAAGCAATAAAAAAAGGGAGGGCAAAAGCAGTTATTAAACTGTGTTGACAAAGTATCAGAAGGGTCAAGCTGTGATTTGGGGTGCTTGGAATGCAGTTGTTCCCTGAATTTCCCTATGTCAAGGAAAGACAATGACAAATTGGAAGGGGTACCCTGAAGGCCAGGTGATGGAGTGGGTGGGACCGTGTGGGTGTTCTCCAGGCTTTTAAGAGCTCAACATGATGTCGGGCTTCAGGGAACAAAATAGTAGAAATAACGGCATAATAGCTGGCAAGGAGCTAGTCAGGTTGGAGAGCCGGAAGAGTTTCCTACAACTGATAAATAAATCTCTGGCTGTGGACACTTGTCCTTTTCTGGACCCCATATGCCTGGTGAGGATGCTCCTGCTTTCAGCGGCTTGTTGCTGCCCTCGTGTTTTTTGCCTTGTGGATTAGTTCACATGAGCTCCCTAATTTGTTCTGTCTGCCAGACCAGCTCAAGTCATCTATGTAAACAGCTTAAACGGACCCAGCTGATACTACCCAGGGAAACTCATTAGGGAATATTTGGAGAGCTGTAGGGCTGGTGTCTTCAGTTAGAAGGGCCCAAGTGAGCAACCAGGAGGGAGCTAATGGCTTTAACCTACATTGCCAAAGAGACCATCTATTTGCAACTTCAGTCACAAGGGTGGTGGTTCTTTTGTTTGTTTGTTTTGGGTTTTTTTTTCCTCCAAAATGAGTATCGCTGTTGCAGTTCATCCGTATGCAGAAGGAAGACCCGTGCACTGCAGAAGCACTGCTTCGAACCTCTTTTGAAACCAGCTTTTCCATAAACCGGCGTGATGTTGGTGCTGGTTGTCAGTAATGGCACTGGGTCTGCTGCCCAAGGATGGGCTTTACTGGGACTAGGTAGTGAAGGCAGGTTACTTAAAAAGACCACATTAACAAAGCCTGTCCTCTGAGGGTGTTGCAAATGGCGTGGTTGCAGGGACGTGGCAGGGCCGTAGCGTGTCTGAGAATGAAAGGTTCGATTTGGGAGTCTTCAGCAGAAGATGCTGTCATCCCCAGCCAAGGAGTTTTTCTGGGCTTTGCAATGCTGCACTTGTAACCAGAAAGCACTAAGCCAACAATCTGAATCTAGTTGAATCCAGATTCATGACATAAATTCAGTTGTGTGACGATGTGTCATAAATGCTTTGGGCCTCTACAGCAGTTGTTTAACTTAAACTGAAGAGGCTTAAGCTGTTGTTTTATTATAAAGATACTATCTCTGCTCATTGGAGTTACAAGAAGGGAAATTGCACAAATACCTTTTAATATTGCTGTCCAGAATCTCCACCTGTGTCTGTAAGTTAGTTATGTATTCTTACTGAATGTGAAACAATTTCTTGTGATTTCCTATCAAATTAATTACTTACAGCTTGTTACCAATTTTTATTTTGTTTTAACTTTTGTGGAACCATGATCTGTTCTTCCTGTTTTGCAGTCAGATTGGTTAAAAACACTTGCTGTGATTCTGAGAAGTGTGATGTAACTTGTAATGGCAAAAAGTTCAGGTCACTTTGACCAAGTTTCCCTCAAAATAGCTCATAAAAAGTAAAATATTCAAAATATGTAGCTGTTGTATTTGTTATTTACCAGTGGTTTATGACAGTAAATCTTCCTGACCTAAACTTCGACTTTCAACGTTGCTTAGCAGAATAACAAGACAATAAAATAACACTGATAAACTCTTTCTCGCTTTATAAACTTACTTCTTTAGCTCTTCATAGTGTGAAAAAAAAAATCAATATATAGTTTTGATGTATACCATCAAGAGGGGGGTGCTGGGGAGAGGACCTGTAAGTTTGGACTGGAGATATTGGGGTCATGTTGTCACATATTTCTGCAACATTTGGTTAACATCCATACCCTTCACCTGCTGCTGGAGTCTCATCAACATTTTCTTAGTTTTTCAAAGCCCACATGGCCAGTTTTTAGTTAATATTACTAGCCCGTAACTGGACAGTAATAATAATAACTAGCTAATGAGCTAATTACTGGTTGGGGGGACCAGGAAAGCCAAGAGCCCCTTACAGAGAGGACTCTTCTTCCAAGCTTTGAACTGATGGCATTTTTATCTCCAGCAAGCGTGAGGGCTGAGCTCTTGGCACCATGGATGCAGCCCGGCCTTTTCCTGCTGGCTAAGGACGTACACAAGGCACAAAGCAGGATTTCAGACCTATAGTTGTAACGATTTTTTAAGAACGTATAGTTACTGGAAGTGTCACTGAATGGTCCATAAATTTTTCTGGTGTACTGCACTGAATTACTACTTTCCATTTGGCTGATTAAAATGATTGTACCAGATTGTATTTTATTCCATTTCCTAAAATAATGTACTTTGAAATTTAAAAGTTGTATGTTATAGCTACAATAATATTAAGATTTTTTGAGCGCTTTGTCAAAAATGTAATGCTAAAACAAGGGATTAGTGGATAGCCAGAAAAAGGTAATTTGGGAAGCCAGCTTATGATGCAGGAAATATATATGTGTACTGGATGACTCTATATCCTTCCAGTATTGGGCTGGATCCTACTTTCTGCAAGACCAATGCCAACGCTCCTTTTGAGTTCAAATGGGAACAGAATCAGCACCTTTAATACATTCTGTCCGAGAAGGGTTGTATGAAAAAATGTATGTCCTTACGCTCTGTTTCCATGAGGATTTTCTTCAGGCATTTTTCATGAGGCAGCATCTTCATTTCTTTCTTGTGGTACCCCAGAGCAGCAAGAGATGTGGCCACTCAATGTGTCTGTGGGAGGGATTCCAAACATTGCTTTTCTGTACTTTGTTTCCCCAAAATGCAGGCTGCGTAATTGAGCTATTGGAGAAAGGCAGAGACTTAGATGTTAGGGGATCGTACCCATTCCATATTGCTGCTGGGTAGTTAATAAGATCAGATGATTGTTTGGAGACAGATGGGAAATATCCTGAGGGTGTGAATTCGCTTTAGAGTGGATTGAGAGGAAAAGCCTCGTAAGACAACTGCTGCTACTTGGTGCCATCCTCTTATGCCTGGTAGGACAGAGTGTGCACCAACGTCTGCGGTGCTCAGATTGGGGACGAGGTAAATTTATAGCAGAATGCGTGAAAGCTTTCACTGCCGCAGCTGTGCCGTACCTGATCAGGCATAAATAAAGTATTTCTGTGTCTGAACTGTCAAACGAGCACAGAAGAGGCTTTTAAACATGGATTACAAAAGGTTAACTATTCAGAAAACTGTTCTTTTGGAGGGGGAGAGGGTGAAACTAGGGTGAAGTTCCCAATTTCTTTGGTTGCAACCCACTAGGTCCGCAACCAGCACTGGAGTCTCATCATGGAGAGCGTGGTCCCGTCTGACAAAGGAAATTATACGTGCATAGTGGAAAACCAGTATGGATCCATCAATCACACGTACCATCTCGACGTCGTTGGTAAGTAAAACTCTGTCGCATGCAAGACACTATTTTTAATTCATGAGTTTCTCTCTTAAAACATTTAGAACTAAGCTGATACACTTTGCATTATTTTTGAAGATGATTTCACAGTGGTCTAAAGATAAGATTTCACTACATAACCAATTGCCACATAAATCTATATATTCATCTGTCTCACTTGTGTCTGTAGGACTGATTTACCCATGCCTTGGCAAAGGTGTAATATCAATGTGTGCAAGGGAGTTTTTGTTGCTGTGATACACCTACAAGGTTACTGTGCAGAACAAAAAATAAATACTGATGCAATTGTAGACATTAGTACAATTGTACAAGTAATAATTAAATTGTAATACTAACAAAAATTTTAATAACTGCGGTTATGAATACTGTCAAGTGATCCTTTAGGTTGCTGTTATTATAGCTGAAATGATTTTTTTTTTTTTTTTTTTTTAATGAAAAGCTGACTTTGAAGCTAGTGCAGATCTGGGACTTCAGGAAAGGTACTTTGCATTCATAGCAGTATGTCAGAGATCCAGCTGTAGCCCGTTGCATGAGCGATGAGTCGTCCCTGAAACATAGGCGACAAAAATTGTGAAGAAATGTTTTTACTTGAGGACAACTTCTAAAAAGCTGTCTGAATTCTTAGTAGTAGCAAAGCTGTGATTCAGCAGGGCTATTAGAACATGCTTGGTAATATTAACTTAATACCAAAATTCTGTTGATGTTAATAAGGCTTACACATTTATTTAAGTGCTTAGCTAAATTAGGGCTTCAAATCTCAGGAACCAATTCCATGCACCCCTACTGTTGCTCATTAGCCTGGATGGGCGTGAGCAGTTTTATTGGCTCTGAAGGCATTGCTGTCCAAAAGTAATCAGTTTGGCGGTTATGATAGGATCTTCTGGTAGTACCTTTGGGGATCTGAGCTGCGGTTTCTGAAGTACGACTTGAATGGGCGTTGCTCTCTCCGGGCTTGTGGGATGATCTGAGCGTCACAAGCTCTGTGAATAAACTTTTGACCCATCAGTATTGAAAGCCAAAATGAATTTGGTTACTGTAAGCTATTTTTGGCGGTGACTGACGGTCCAGCTTATCTTCTGTGGAGAATCTTACTGTGAGTTTGGGTTTATATGAGCAAAACAGTGACAAAATCTTCATTTTTTCCCTATTTCTTGATTGTATTTTACATGAATAAAACTGCATCTCTCACGTTGTTTTGGATGCTCTTTAAAAGTAGTGTCTTATTTTGTCTGGGACCACTTAAATCTGTGGAAACCCCCCAAATCCAAAAGAAAACAAGCAAGAGCTTCTTAGGCAGCAAGAAATGAAAACATTCCCCACGAAAGTGCCAGTGAGACCTAGTCTTCGTGGAGCAGAGGAGAGAAAAAAGATAATTTTGTCACGGGGATGCTGTCAGACTGAAGCCCTACCACCAGTCCCAATACGTTTAAGACTTCAAAGCCAGTCAGTAAACCACCCAACTCACCTGTATTTGGTTTTAGGTAGTCAACACTGAAAGAAGTGAGGATTTTTATAGCCTTGGCAATGTTTTGTCATCCTCGGTAGAATTGAGCTACGGGTATTGTTGAGGTGAGCCAAGTGACTGGTAAAGCCATTTTTGTTTGAACACGTGTTTAAACAAAATTTATGGAGGGCGCAGCAGCAACGGCTGCCAGAGATGGTAGTAAATCGTGTTCTGCGTGCCTCTGTCCTCTGCTGACCACCTTGCTGGAGGGTGTGGGCTGCTTGCTTGCCTGGGCTTGCCAGGTACAAGGCTTGGTTTGCAGAGCTTGGCTCAGAAAGAATGTAAGGAGATGATGAGTTGTGGGATTTTTGGAGGGTTTTTGGGTTTTGTTGGTTTTGTTTTTTTCCTGAATCCTCTAGGGAGCCTAGTCATCTTTGGTTTTGCGTAAAAGTGTTTTTTAGGAGGCTACATAGACAGAAGACAGTTTTGCAATATTGGGAGTTTTCCTTGCTGAAACAAAGCTGGTTAAAAATTCCTCTTCCCTTCTCTGTCCCCTGTTCCTTTTCCTCGTTACCACCCCAGTCCCGATCTGGCACATATCATGTTGACCGCAAATTTCTTCACCCATTTTTTTCTAGCAAATGTGTTCAAGGATGATGTAGTCACTTGAGCAAATATTTGTCAGAAGCCCTCTCACCTCTTTTCCGCCTTTGAGCCTTTTGAGTCTCTTACGTTGAGGAATATTACGCAGAAGTTTATTTTTCCTGGCAGTAAATTATAGTGACATGCATGAATGAATGGAATGGTAATAAGGATTACATAATTTATTTAAATGTCTATTCCTTTCCTATAGAGAGGCAGAAGAGTAAATAATGAGGTTTTTCAAAAGTGACTAGTGATTTGGTGTGCTGGGTACCCAGCTGATAGCACCCAAAGAAGCCCTGATTTTCCCTGGGTGAATAGTTGTAATTTTCTGATGCTCAGACCCTAGGAGATGGCAAACCAGGAGTCTTGAAGTGACTTCTGCAAATCCCAGTCTGCATCTTGGAGTTCTGCATACTTAATCATTTTACTTCCTTTAATTTGATGAGTTAAAGGGTGTAATTGTTAGTTCACTTCGAAAAGGTATGTATGGAAGTGCACGCCCTAAGATAGCCGTGTTGAATTTACTGTGAGTCTGTCAAGAGATACTGCACTGGGACGTGAACCTAAAAGGGAGATGGATGCTAGAGAGCTCAGTCATTTCTGTGTTGCGGAAAGCTTGTAGTAAATGTGGAGGTTGGGCATAAATTGCTGAAGCAGTAAATTAAGGCTGGCCAGAAGGGGAAACTCTGACAGTTTTTCTAGTTAAGACAGTTCTACAGCAGTTAATTTTGTGCCTTTTTTTTTTTTTTTCTCCTGTTTTCATATGAATTTTCAGTTCCCACAGGGTTGTGGAGAGTTATGGATGTTTGTTTAGAAGCAATTGCGTATGTAGACCGCATCTTAGAAACTTCAGGTCGTAATTTTAGGTCAAGCTGTGTGTGGAAAACTGTCAGTTGAAAGCCTCTGAAATTGCTTTTCCTATGGTTTAACTGGTTCCAGAGTTGATTAAGTGTAAGTAATAGAAAATGGTATTAAACATGCTAACGTATTACACTAACAAGAGCATCTGACTATATGGTGTAATGTAGAGAACCCTCTGATTATGTCACAGATTTGGGAGGTATCCCAGCAAAAATTGTGCCAAATAATGACACAATGCTAGTTAGGAATATCCAGCATTACTTGATGCCAATAACTTTCCAAACCTTGAACTCTTTTGACAATTAAAAGCCTGGATGGAGCCAGCAGGGCTGAGTAGTTTTCAGTCAGAATGTAGGTGTGAAGTATTCTCGTTTTTACCTTGTAATTACTTGCAAGAACCCTCTTAAAATAGTCAACTCAGCTCAGATGGTCTCATTCAAATTTACAAACCTGGCAAAACCGTTGCACTGAATTTTTTACAACGGGAGTAGGAAATACTGAAGAAAAAAAGCAGCAAGTTGTTGGCAGCCTCTCTGTATTGCACAGGATACTTGTGCACATTGACAGTGTTAGTAGGGAATTGTCCAGTTGAGTTGGCCAGGATATTCTGTGTTGGACAAAGGTGTTCTTTAAATGTTTGGGATACCCCAGTCGACTGCCTTGTCCGCTCTCCTCCTCCTCCTCCTCCTCCGTTTCAAAACAGGGACTTAAGCAGGCTGTATGCAGGGCTTTGCTCAGGGATACAAATAGGTTAGATTGCAGTAGTGGCAAACAGTGGCGATACAAAACCATGAGGATCCTGTGAAAGGGAGACGCGTTGATTTTAGCTTTTTATCGGAGTATTACCCAGAGGCTTCAATTCATATCGGGTACTGATTGTCCCAGGCAATATGCCACCGCACAGTAATTGCTTACATCCGAAATGTGGAGAGGCTGGGAAAAGGAAATGTCACCGTCCATTTTATAGATGAAAAACCAAGCTGTGGAGCGATGAAATTTCTTGCCCTGGGTCACACAGGAAGCTGGTGGCAGAGCCAAAAAGTAAAGCTGGTACTTGAATCCTAATCCAGTACCTTAATTAAAAGAATGTTCTTTCCCTTGTACAGTTTCACCCATCAGCTGTTTTTTTACATGCAGCTGAAGTGCCTTTGTATTCTTTTGTATTTAATGGTAGGTAGAAACTCACGTTTTTATAGCAAGCTTACTAACAGACTAACTCTGTTCTCATTAAACGTATATAAAGTCACGCAGTCTTAAGGGAGGACGATTGCAAACGATGTGGTTTTCACTTACAAGTTGTATTGTAGTGAATCCGGGTTTTAGGAAGCAACGTGGGAATACAGCCACTGAGACTTGTATATAATTAGATCACTCTTGGATTGCAATTATCGCTAGAGTACAATTTCAGCAGCGGCAGTTCTGTTTAAGTGTGGAAATAACTAATTGAATTTATATTTTAATGGCAAAAAAAAAAAAGGTTAGTCTTTGAACACTCCTAGTGCAGGTAGCCATTTCTGTCCTATTTAATGTCATCATCCAGGGAAACAAAAGATGGTTTGGTTTCAGATGAAGTTCGGCACATTACCTCATTTACTGGGTTTTATAAGCAGCTGCCATAGCACGACACATCTTCCAAGAATGCGTAAGAAGACCCTGCTGTTTGCTATAAAAAATGAACATAACTTGTCACAAATATTTTTTTTAAAAAGTCCTTTTGCAGTCAGTTCAGCTGTCCTTTGACCAGCTTCTGATTTACCCAATAGCCATGCCTTTGGCTCTTGTCACTGAGGAGTGAAGTCCAGAGGTGGCAGAGTAGCACACAGTTGTCCCTTAACAGTAATCCGTGTTTTCATACGAAAACAGTCTGAGAATATCTTTTCATCCAGGAAGCATTTTAAGTGACCCATAGCTTAAAGCTTATGCCCCAGAAATCTCATGTATGAGTAGTTTTACTGATGGATGTGCATAAAAACCCTTTTATTCTGAACTCTTGGAGGTTTTACAGTGCTTTAGGATGAATTTTACT